TAAGTAATCTACAGGCACGTACAAAATTCTATAGACTTAAAGAGATGAGTCTGAAGGTGGGAGAGATTAGCTGTTAATTTGAAGAATCATGAGTTTTTTTATCTCTAGAACTATTATGGCTTAATCTATCAACATCTTGGAAATTTAATATAGGTTTGATAACAATTGTGATTTTTAATTTATTTTGGCCAGTTATTTATTTTGGTTTAATTCATTACATAAAAATATATTTGGGATAAGTGATTACTATGATGTGAGATGGTAATGGCGATAGAAGTTATTCCATGATTAGCCTTTCAATACTTCTGCCTTTAAACAAATTGCGACAAGTGATGCTATGATGCGTGATGGTAATTACAATAGAAGTTAGTCTACGATTGGCCTTTCAACACTTCTGTCTTTAAATGACTTAGATATGTATCACATTGACATATGGTTATTGTCAATGTTTTAGCCTTCTACTTATCACATGTTTTGCTGAATCTTTCTCTTATTGAATTGCTATTTATCTAGTGCAAAGCTGTGAAATATGTGACTTTAAGTTTTGATTTTTAAACGTCTAATTCTAACTATTTTAGTTGGATTTTGATTTTAAGTATGAGTAAACTGCTATCTCCTTTTGTTGCTTTCCTTAAAACAATGCGGATGCACGTTGGTGTTTTAATATGCTTATTAGGATAATGGTATTTTAAACTTGGTGAATATGTTGATGTTGATCGTTTGTCTTTTCCACTTACATCTGCTTTTCCACATGCCTTGAGCGTGAAAATTTTTACACGAGGGACCAACTTGAGTGATGAAGCAGCTGCAAGTATTGTGTAATATTACGGAACTCATAGACAGGAAAACTTTTGCAAATATATCAAATACTGTCGCTAAAAGCCTTCATTTTGCATTTCCAATATCTTTGGATCTATTTCATCTATAATTGTTATTCAGTGAGACTCTTCATATGTGAAAAGTCAATGCTTTTAGTCTTATTTAAAATTGTCATGCTGTTGCAATCAAGGAAACATTGAAGTATTGTTTCAAAGTTTTTTTCTAAGACCTTTTGATGTCCGGTAGTCACTCCTTAAAAAATTTGAAGTTAAATTGGATCGAATCACATAAAAAAGATAAATTCTCTTAACGTTTGTTTTTTTTTATTCATAAAATTCGAAACTGAGACATTAATTAAAAAATATAGAGTTCTTTAATCACTTGGACCAACAGGTATTGTTTAAGTATTGTGTCAAAATTTGAACATGCATAATATTTACTAGATTGAGTATAAAGCTAATGACAGTCAGGTGAAAAGCTTTTACAACAATTAGTTAAAAAGCTTCCGGCATTGATTTTGATGCCTATTTAGAGCATTTTTGTTGCTAGCATATTATTTGTTGCACACTTGATTAGGTTTCGTATTTAAGGACTTTTTGTCACATTCTTCTTTATATATATTTTTTTTCACGCTTGTCTTTTTCAAAGGTTATGCATATTGTGCTTAGTCATAATTGTCTTACCCCAGATAACTTCTAATTTAGACTGATGGTATTTATAGATGCAAGTTCCATAAATTCATGAACAGAAATTTAAACTTTGTATTATAAATATCTTATTTTAAGAAATTTTGTTATAATAAAAGTCTTAGTTATATTTGATAAAGTTGATATAATTTTGCTATATACTTATATCCTTTTTATAATCACAAAAATTTATTTTACGTTTGCTTCAAGATTTTATTACTTTTTGTTGGTGTTAAGCTCTGACTTGAGGATATTCTTGTAAATATAAAAGGGAAGGACGGCTAAAGGCAAAGGCATGAGGTATTCCTTGCATTTACACTTCGACGCATAAGTTAGGTCGAAAAAGAAGTCAAAAAATAGGAATGAGAGAAAACGATGAATTAGATGAACCTAGCTTCATGGTGCCTGAGTCTCTATATTTATAGGTAGGCTGAAGGGGACAAAAAATGAACAATTAAGATAAGATCAAGCTGAGGTGGCACTAATCATATTAGATCAACTTGACATGTCAAGTCGACACAAATGACCAAGATATCCCTGGTTGTTTGTTGAAGACTTTGAGAAGAAAAAAATCACTTGCCCTTTTGACCATTATATTCTCTTAACACTTTATCCCTCTATCAAGTGGTCTAAGTATTAGATCATTAAGTTTATTACTGATGTCTCGATGTGGGGAAGGTGGCTGCATATTTCATTGAAAGTTGACGTTGTTGAGGGTGGTCATTCTAGATAAAAACTAGTTTTGAGCTCGATCAAACTTGGTGGTTATCTGATCTTGTACGCGTGTTCTAGAATGAGTGCGTAATCAATTTAAAGCTTATTGAGGTGATAATTATTTTGAGATTATTGTTAGAGTTCGTTGGGCCATGGTGAGACTTTTTGTTTTCTTTTGAAAATTTAGACTTAAGCCTTTATTTTGAACCCAAGAAATGAACTGGGCTTTTGGTTTACCCTTAACAGTTGTTCAGTTCAGCCAGTTCGATTTGGGATTCATCTAATTAGGTCAGTCTAACAGTATTAAATGGAGAGAGAAATGGTTTAAGCAAGAAGATTTAAAGAAGAAAGACAAAAAGATGTCTACCTACTTGTGATCCAACATGTGACGTGGATCATGTCGTTCTTTTAAGCAGAAGTACATCATATAAAAGGGTTGGTATGGCTTTAGCTTTTTATCTTCCACTTTATTTGCTTTCAATCCAACCTAAAATTTTTTATCTCAACAGCTTTTTTGCCTTCAAAGTTTTTTCTACACCTGTTTCGATACGTATTTCTTATCATGTCTTTTAGTATGAGTTCTAGAAGGGTTGAAAGTTATAAGGTAGAGCTAAATGCAGGTTAGCAAGAGTAGTAAGATGATGACTTGTTCCTTTTTATTATTGGATCATAACTATACAAAGATGGCTTATTGGTTCAATTTGATATATGAGGAAATGTAGCAATGTAATGAAGAGAACTCAGTAAAGATGTGAGCGAGTTTTGAACATTAAAGAGCTATGTGCTCACTTTAGTGCTCAGATTAACTTTGAACTTCAAAATCCACTTGCTTTCCCTATCTCTTAAGTTGGTCCATCTTCAATGGTCAACCTTTCTTCCTCTTCGGGTATTCTCCTTTCTGGGGTTTAATCTCTCCACTTCCTATCATTTCTATTTTCCCTTTTAATCAATTTTTCTTAACATCTCATCATTTAATAAAGGATCTTTACCTAGTTTTTATTTCTCTGAGATTGAGTTACTTTAATATACTATTCTTTTTCGAGATTTATTTCTCACCAAAGAGTTAGATTTTTCTGATGAAGGGGGTTTCGGTAAAGGATAAAAGAAAGGGAGCACCTCGATTGAAAAAAATGATGGTGAAAGGAGAGTTTTATAGAGTAGGATGAACTTGTCCAGGTTTTTGTATATACTCTATGTGATCTCAACATGATCTCCAAGGTTATGATGAGTGAGCTAAAAGGCAAAGCAAATCTCGAAGAATTGTAGTTGAGGCGATGATAAGTTGGATTAGTGTGTTCTTCTTCTTTAAAGGTCGAAAAGGCTTTTGCCTCTTATAGCTCGATTGTTCGACAACAACTTCTTGGTTCGGTGTGATTAAGTTTAACATTTTGGAGACTTATGGTGGGGATTATAGTTTGCAACATTTGTTTGAGGGCTTGTATTTACTTGGTCAGGGCTTAAAATTGCTTCATGGTTAGCCCAGGCTGTGGTTGAGTTGGGTAGATAGAATGCTGACTTTAATGAGTTTTTGTTCTAGTTGGGGCGATTACCTCTCTTTCCTTTTGGGTTTTTTTTCTAAGTGACATTGTTTTGTGCTCAGTTAATATGAAATGCTTTCCCTACTTGACTCGTCAAATGTAGATACCGAGGTCCAACCTGAGGGTATTCTTGTAAATATAGAAAGGAATGACGGTTGAGATAAAGGCAGAGGGTGTTTCTTACGTTTATATTCCAATATGCAAGTCAATAAGAATCAAGTCGAAAAGGAAAAGAGAAAATCAAAAAGAGAGAAATAGATGAATTAAATGAACTTATCTTCATCATATCTGAATTTTCATATTTATAGATAAGCTAAATAGGATAAAAAAGAAATAATTAAAACATAATTGAATTGAAATGAGATTGATCATGTCAGATAGATCTGACATATCAAGTCAATATAAATGATCAAAATATTTTTAATTATCTATTAAAAACTTTAAAAAAAATTATTATACTTTTTTTGCCATTATATGCTCGTACCACTTTCAAAACTCATTGTTTGGTTGTTGTTTTTCATTTGTGTTGTTTATAAGCCTTTTTGTTATGAATATTTTTCTATTGTTTTTTATTTTCTTTTTCTTTATTCAGTAGTTTTTCTTGCACCGCGAAAAAACTCTATTATAATTAAAACTCTATCATAATATTTATAGGCTGTAGCTGAAATTCTTTAAAACCATGGTCAGTTTCCAACATGGTTTTTAACCCTCAAACCGAACCGTGGTTATTTAGGATTACATAATACGCTTACGGTCAAGATCGTTTGGCACTAAAAAAACGCGTTAAGTCCAGTTTGCGCGCCTTCATGCCAATCCGACGTGGAAAATAATTTAATCGTTCTTTCACGTTAGCCGGCTTAGGCCTGTCAGTAACTGCCACGTGACGGTTAATTTGCTCCCTCCCTGACGTTTTACACTTTTATTGTTTGTCTCCTTCTATTCAAATACCGGTATTGTACCGGTTGGCGGGTCCTCCCTTAAAGAGATAGCAATTTCCTCGCCAACGTCTTTGTAACCAGCACGATCTTTAACGGACAATTAAATCTCTTATTGACAATAATGCCCTCCCACTGGAGGTCTTTGACTACTTCTATATATGGAGAATACGGTAATTTCAATTCAACTCATTAATAAACCTATTTAATTTTCTTAGTTGAAGTGAAACAGAGGATGAGAGGACTCTGTTTTTGCAGTAAAACTTCAGAGTTGATAGAAAACTCTTCTCGTAAGGTAAGTTTTCGTATTTAATTGAAAATTTTGTTTTTTATTTTTAGTATTTATTTTTTTTTCAAATTTTTATTGGAATTTGTTAGATATTTTTCCATAATATGAAAGGCTTTATAAGGAACTGACTAGAGTAATCAATATATCACTATATGAATCTGAAAGTATTTATTTTCCTTTTCCGTTTAATTGATCTGTAACTGAACAATCCTAGTATGATTCTAATCAAGCAAATAATTCAATTGTAAAATTCACGTTTATTTGGTTTGGAATTTTAGATATTTATTTTTATTTATATATATTTTTATAATTTTGTAGACTTTTGGATAGAACTGATGTTGTGATTGGGGCTTGTTGACAATGGATTCTGCAAGGAGTTGGTTTAAGAAATTCCAACATAAGAATGAAAAAATAGAAAATTCACCAAAGAAAAAAAAGGAAATTGAGAATGAAAAGTATGCACATAAGCCTCCCATCCATGGGGTTGGGGCACCTTCAGCTGCCACCAAACAGAAGGTTGACGCTGCTAAGCAGTATATTGAGAAACACTACAAAGCTCAGATGAAGAATTTGCAGGACAGAAAGGAAAGGTAACTTACTAAATACTAGCATTAACTTATCACATCTTGTATAACTAGACCGCCTTGCATATTTTTAGCTCATGGCATTACTTGAATTACTTTTGCAAAAGATATGTTGTGCTTTGATATCTGTACTAGGCACATCGCTTAGATATTTTTTGTTTTGAAACAAATGAATTATGGTGGGTGAATCTCATATCATATGTTTGTATGTTAAAGGGTTTTAACTTTTAAGCTTGTTTACTTTGCAGGATGTTTCTGTCTCCTTGTGAGTTTCATTTGTTTGAATGGGGCCTTTCTAACTATTACTGAAATTAGGTCTTTTTGTTGATTGTTTTGCACTGGTATAGGATAGTGTCACATCGATGTCTATTTCATAAAGAATTGTATTTCTATTTCAATATTGTTTCTCTTGCAGTTTTATAATTTATATGTTGAACTTCTCTTTTTTTTTTTTTTTTTGCTAACAATTATCCATATGGAATATAGACGTTGGATGTTAGAGAGGAAACTTGCTGATGCTGATGTAACTGCAGAAGAGCAAATGAGTATGCTTAAATTTTTAGAGAAACAGGAAACAGAATACATGCGCCTTCAAAGACACAAGATGGGTGTTGATGACTTTGAACTGCTGACCATTATAGGGAGGGGTGCATTTGGAGAGGTCTTGCTCTTCTTATTTTGTTGTTTTCTTATTTGAATTTTACTCTTATTGTTAGTAATATTTTTTCTTACACTAGTTAGTGATTTATTTATGCTTTGCGTTGCAATCTTATGGTGTTCAAATTTCTCCAATATGCATCTCCATACCTGGTGGTAAATATTGTTTAGCTCTAGCATCCTTGCCTCCACCATTTTCCACTTTCTTGTTTAATGACAAAGTACATGATGCTGCATTAAATTATTTTTTCATTTCTGGTTATGGAAGATGTCTGCTGTCATCATACAGGTAAGAATTTGTAAAGAAAAATCTACTGGAAATGTGTATGCCATGAAAAAGCTCCAAAAATCTGAGATGCTTCGCAGAGGCCAGGTACTGTTTGGTTCATAATGTTTTTCCTGATTCCTTTACATTTCTTTGGAAGGAGAGAAGTTTACTTCATTTGACAGCTTTCTTTTAGTGGATGGGAGAAATAAAAAACCTGGAGATCCTCTCTCAAATTCACTTTTTAAATTCTGTCAAATTGGGAGGATTAGAGAAGAGTATTTTACTTCAATGTTTTCAGCTTGTTATTTTCCCTGTATTCTTTATTTTTTTTAGTAATGATTTATAATTATAGTGGTAATAGCAGAAAATCTTTGCTAATATATATATTTTTTTCTCTCATTTTTCAATCAAGATGGGGGACAATTATTTCCTTTGTACTACTTTTTAATTCTTTATTTAACTTACTATACTCTGTTTTCCTTTTAAACTCCCAATTACACTGTTGATTTGTGAAGCTGGCTGCATTGGTAATAAGAAATAATCAAATTAACTCAGTTAGATCATATAGCTTTTGGGTTCCAGTTTGTTACATGAATTGGTATTTATTCTACCCTTCTAAGGATCAATGTGCCCTGGAACCTAATAAGAAAGGCTTCACTAATATTGAAAAATTTGCTGCATGGTTTATCCAACCTTCGTTATTCCGATCTTAGAACTTGCTGTAAAATATACATTTAAAGTTGTCAGAAACAGGGTTATATTGGGAAGAGAAGGAATATCAAATTGCATTTGAAAGATTGGAGATTCAGTTAAATATTGGTTTGAAGTATGAAGGTACTTTCTCCTGCATTATTCTTTCTCTTTACTTCTCTACTTCTCCCGGTCCAGGTCGAGCATGTTAAAGCAGAAAGGAATCTCCTTGCTGAAGTTGACAATGAATGCACTGTCAAGCTCTACTGCTCTTTTCAGGATGATGACTTTTTGTATCTTGTAATGGAATATCTCCCTGGGGGCGATCTGATGACATTACTGATACGGAAGGATACCTTAACTGAGGATGAGGCAAGGTTTTATGTTGGCCAGACGGTTCTTGCAATTGAATCCATCCACAAGCACAACTACGTCCACAGGTTTTCTATCTTTCTTGACCATTTTCCCGTGGGATCTGTTTCATCTGTGGGTTAGACAACGTACAATTCTCTCATGGTCCATGGGTGCTATTTTCCCCATTGTTAGCTTCTTCTTACAGAATTATTTATAGCATATGGAAAATGGGTAGTATACTGCTCTCTGGACCAATCTTTTCATTTTACTGATATACCATACGAACATTCAAGCCTGATAATCACGTATTTCTGGAATGAATATTCTTCTTGTCTTCCCTCCACTTGTGAAGAAGCACACAAATAGAAAGAAAAGATGTGTATTTCATAACATCACCTTATTCTTTGTAGGGATATCAAGCCTGATAATTTATTGCTTGACCGTAATGGCCATATGAAGCTCTCGGATTTTGGATTGTGTAAGCCCCTTGATAGTAGCAGCTTTCCAGACCTTAGAGAGGATGACCATGGAGGGGGAAGAAACTTTAAACCCTCAATGGAGATTGGTAAACATTCTAATCTTCCTACTACACCAAAGCGGACACAACAGGAGCAGTTGTTACATTGGCAAAAGAATAGGCGAACATTGGTATGCTTTCTAGATCCTCAAGTGGTGTCTATTGATTGTAAAGAAGCTTTGATTGATTGCTAAGATTGGACGCAGTTTGTATTGTGTTCCTTGTTTTCGGATTGAAAGACATAGGGGCAGGACTTGTATTTCCAGCTCTTAGCAAACTGCTGTTGGCATCTTAAGCTAGCAAAACGTGTTTATTGGCAAAAGGAAAATCTGCTTGAATTTGACCTCTGTTTGTGGGCCCCTTTAGCTACTAAAAGGCATTCTAGTTATTTCAACGAACTGGAACTCTGCTCCTCAGGGGTCCAAAGAATGAGCCCCCTGCAGGAAAGTGGCCCTTTAGTGTGTTTCTAGTCAATTCTATTCTTAAGTTTCTTCTCTCTTTCTATCTCTCTCTCTGATTTCCTTACAAAGTAGCAAATGGAATCCCTTACATAAGATAATTATGACCTGCCAATATGTTTTGATTCTATCTTTTCTGCAGACATTATAATAGATACCACTCTTCCTGGTTCTTGGGTTTTAAGTGTGACCCGTGAAGCTATTGAAAACTAGCACAAATAAAAATATTTCTGTTGCATGTGCATGCTTTGTATTTTTTATTTTTACAACTTGCAGGCATATTTTGCATTAATAGATTAACAAAACTTGTTTTCTGGAGAGTTGAATTCTATTTTCATTTTCTGAAACTGAAAAAAAGCAGCTTAACCATGTTTCATGGATTAAATTTATTTTCCTAAAACTTAAAGGTATATATTCCATTTTTATTACCTTATTCATCTTCTTAAGGCATTTTTTATGTTTTAACTTCTTTATAATGGTTTTGCAATGTTCCATATAGGCTTACTCGACAGTTGGTACTCCTGACTACATTGCCCCAGAAGTGTTGTTGAAGAGAGGATACGGGATAGAGTGCGATTGGTTAGTCAGTTGTATTACCTATTAAATTCTCTTAATATTCTCTGTGCTAATATTCTAGAAGATTCTTCCTTAGGTGGTCGCTTGGGGCAATTATGTTTGAGATGCTTGTAGGATATCCACCTTTCTATTCTGAAGAACCTTTGTTGACGTGCAGAAAGGTTAGTGAAGTTGACTTTGTGATTGCCATTCGGTATGGTAAGACATGCATATTACGAGGTTTTTGATACAAATGAAAATCAGATATTCTTTAAGATTCAGCTATTAACTATCTGTTTGACGCTGAACATGGTTAGCAAGTAAAAGTACTGCTTATTAACCAAGTTGGGTGATTCCAGAAGTTAGCAAATAATGAAGTGACTGGGGCATAATGAATGCATCAGTGGAAATAACTTTGCGGTGATCTGCGTTGAGAGGCACTAAAGATTGTTAAGTACATAACTTATTAGGCAGGAAAAGAACAAGGGAAATATTCTTTCTTGTTTTTTATTAATTATTTGTTACTGCTTATGACTTTGATGACATTAAGATGCTCTTAAAGTGACCACCTGGAAAGGACCAAGTGGCAAAATGGTTCTGCATTTCTGAAATAAGAACCATGAGATCCAATAAATTGAACCATGCATCTCAAAAGGAGGTATTGTAATATTCATTGATCTAGCATGAACCCTTCAAACTATAAGGAATATGATTTTTTTTTTTTTATGGTCAAATTATGCTGAACTGCCTGTCTGGAAGAGACGTGATTACTAACAAATACTAACATTGCAATCCCTTAATATTGTTTCTCTAAACAAATGCTCACTCAGATTTATTTTATTTATTTGCTACATTTGAGGAAGTCTGCAGAAGGAATGGTGATTTGAACCTTCAACCTCAACTCTCTTAAAGAGTGGCCAAGCCTCGGCTATTAATTAGGAAAAAGAATACATAGCAGATTTATATTATTTCATTGAAATTTATCTATAGCAGTTTGAGATATTGCACTCAGAGATGTTTCTTTCGAACTTAATCACTGATGATCTATTCTTTTCTTAAGGTCTGTAATATTTTGTGCTGAACCTAAAACTCCAATTGTCAAAAGATTGGGTTTTTAACTCTGTAATGAACAAAGAAATCTTATCCTACTGCACTGGAAATGTGCAAATTTTTATGATCCTCAATTTATTTTCAAAACTTATCTCCATGTTTGTTACTGCTTAGGAAAGAACTTTAGTCAGGAAGATTTCCTCAAAATTGTTTTAGACATGGTTGAAGGATCATGCACTTCTAGTTCTTGGATGCTATTTGTACCTCTCTCTTTCTCTCTCTCTCTCTCTCTCTCTTTTCACCCTGGCTTCTTTTTTCACTCTTGGATAAGTTTATTATGTTATGATATTTAGTTTTTTTTTTAATTTCTTGTATTTGTAAGGTTAATTAAGTGTTCTGTCTAGACATGAAATTCGAGTTAGCAGTAACACATGGATGATTGACTCAATCATCAAATCTGCTACTATATTCCTGTTCTTGGTGGTATAGGATTAGATTTAATCTTGATTTGGAGATTTCATTGCAAATCTAAGCACAATGAATACGTGTGCAGATTAAAAAGGTAGCTGATCGAACATGTATTGTCAATCTGTACTTTCTTTATGGACTTTAATGTTGTCTTTAGAGCAAAGTGCTCAAATGTAATGGAACATTTTCTTTCTGATGATGGTGATGATCAGATGCATCAGGAATTAAGACCTTAATTGGTGAAAGAATGGAAATTTATTCCCTTTTGTCTTTAAGTTAAAGTTGACACCCTCTAGGCAACAAGGGATGAAAGCTGGTCTGTACACAAGCAATAATTGTTCATGATTTGTTTGCTAGAGCTAACCCTTGAAACATGTAAAGGGCCTAAAAATCTTGTGGTTACTGGAAAATAATGTTAGCATTTTGATTTTATTCGGAGTGCCCTAGATTTTTTTTATTCGGAGAACATAAACAATCACCAAATATTTTGAATTGTATCCCTTGGGATATACAAGGCTACAACAGTCTCCTTTTGCATCAATAGTATCGACTACTCTAAACTTGATTCTCAATCTAGTGATCTAGTTTCTATTTTCTGTTTATCTTAATGAGTTTAAAACTTTCCAGTCAATTTGTTGGTTAACCTGTCTCAGCGGTTTTTAATTTTGATTGACAATGGTGAACAAACTAATATCATCTTCATCGGCTGCTACTCATAATTGTTTGTATACCTGTCTCAACAGTTTGAAAACTAGTGTTTGATCTTGATATACTACATGCATTATACAATGGGTCAGCTTATCAATGCAGATTGTAAACTGGAGAACACGTTTGAAATTCCCTGAAGAAGCCAAGTTATCTGCTGAAGCTAAAGATCTCATTCGTAAACTCCTTTGCAATGTTGAGCAGAGGCTTGGAACCAAAGGAGCTCATGAAATAAAGGTCAGACTAATTGATCCTTTCGACCCTTTTATTTTTAAGAGCAGAGATTTTATTATCATACAACCGACTCTTAAGTTCATCATATTAGGCACACCCATGGTTCAAAGATATTGATTGGAACAGATTATATCAGATGGAAGCTGCTTTTATACCAGAGGTTAACGGTGATCTAGATACGCAGAACTTTGAAAAGTTTGAAGAGGTTAGTAGCAAAGGTTTCTCTTAGTGGGTTAATATAGTAGAATTCCATCCATGCAGCTGCCCTCATGTAGTAGGCAAATATTTTGGTTATGCTGTAATTGTACCATGTTAAATCTTGTTTTCAGTAGTTTAATCCTCACATCTCCTTTTGCACTTGAAGTTCTATATAACTTTCAACTGTATTCACTAATTTAGATGTTATCAAGCTAGAAATTCCTAGTTTTGATTCGGTACCAGCAAATATAGGTTATACTTGAATTGGACTTTCAAACTAGCCTTATGAATCTTGTTATTGTTGAGAAATTTTGCCGCATGTTGAGAATTATAGCCTGATGTCTATGCATTTAATGTTTTTCTCATTTAGGTACTCTAATTAGGATTTAAAGTTTTTTAAAATTTTCAATCAAGGATCTAACATTATGATCAATTTATAATATCAACTTATTCATTTTGATTAATTAAGGAAAATCACTAACACAAACTTGAATTTGCTATTAATCTAATTAACTGCTGCCACCTAACAAAAATTACACTTGTTTCATACATACCTGGTGAGATTTTTATGTGGCAGCGGTTGTTTTTTTCCTTCCCATTTTCCTTTATTTTTTCTTTCCTTTTCCATTCCACTGACAGCATTGCCAGCTGGACATTGGTGATGTTTCTGTATTGGAGGCCAGTGCATTCTTGGTGAGGTGGGGCTAGGTTTAGCCTCTGCCTGCTTCGGCCTGGTGTGATGACACCAGATCTGGCACCTGCCAGTGCCATGTGGCACACTAGGGCCCAGTCTCACCTCAACCAGCATCTCTTGCTATTGCGAGTCTGACGCCTAGCACCAGAATTTTCAGCCTGGTGGTATGGTGTGGGATTTGGCCCCTACTAGTGCTGCTAGGCAAAATCAGGCCCCTGCCAACAGCAATCTGACTCTATTCCTTAAGTGCTAGAAAGCCCTGACTGGCATCATATTCACGACCACCATTGGTGGATGAGAAAAAGAGAAATTGAACTAAAGGAAAAACAAAATCCGGCTTAGTTTTCACATGTCAACTTTTAGCCATGTAAATATGCCAAATGGTTAACTCTTCCATGTGGTTGCCATTAGTGATATTGACTAAAAACTTAAATTTCTGTTATTGATCTTTTCTAATTAATCAAATAATATGATTTATAATCAACCGAATGATTTGGAAATGTTTGATCCTAATTGGGCATTGGGCCTTTTTTGCCATGTCGTGGACAAAATGTACAATGCTGTGTGATAGAAATTAAGGTGAAGCATAACTTAGAGGCATAAAAGTGAAGAATGGTGCATATGATCCGAGTTCAACTAGTGTTTGACATCAAATCTTTGACCAAACAATTTTGTCATAAGAACATTACTACCATTGCAGTTTCAAACATATGGCTCTTCTTTCCATGAATTTATAAATTATAACTGCTATTTTTAGGCTTCAGAAGTTCTGGTATTTTTGGACTCCTTAATGATAAAGTTTTTCTGCATTACAAATTTGAATTCATGCTCCCGTTGAAGGTCTTACTGTTTGATAATTTCTTTAAAGCAATTATAGCTGTCATTTATGACCAATGATCAACATTTTGATGCCTAGCTTGATTTTGAACTTCTAGATATGATGCTTGTCAATTATCTGCTATACATTTGGCATTCACTTTTCCAGCAATATATGCACTCCTGACAGTATTTATTTTCTTTTTCTTTTTCTTGTCTTAGGCACATTAGAATAGAAAATTTTCTTCTGCCCTTTACCAACAATGTTAACTATATTCATATCATATTGTCTTATATATTTTCTAAAGGAAATCAACATGATTTTTTTATTCTTTTTGGTCTAGATTTGTTTTCTTGTCCATCAGTTATTGTCCCTCAACTGGCACTAAAACCTACAAGATAAATGCTCAATCTAATAATTTGGCTAGCCATAGAAGAGCTAGAATTTTGAGATCATACGTTTTGTTCCTGAATGGATTTGATTCTGAAAGAAGCAACTGTAATGGTGTTTAATGTTACTTTCAAAAGTATCCAACCTACAACTTAAAACTTCCCTTTGCATGTAGGCCCCCTAGAATAATTGGGAAGAACAGGCTTGTCATGCTGACTGAAAATATGCCAACATTCTACCTGGGTCCTAATACCATTTGAAGCCTTCTATATAAAACCCTTCGGCTTTAGTTGAAGAGGCCAAATAGGCCAACAGCCAACTTTAAAGTACAGGCATAACACTGACCGCAGATCAAACTGATGTGGATATAACTCCACTTAAAATGTATATTGTCAATCATTTTGCAATTTGATTGGTCAATATTCCCCTTTGGTTCCCTCACCAACACTTTTATGTACCAAAAAAAATCCTTTTCTTTCTAAATGCATTTCATATACTATTTATTTTTTATTTTTCAATTTAATAATTTGATTTGAGGACATGATAAAGTCAAATTTATGTTTTGAGATTAGCTGCTTGCTTTAAACTATTCAAAAGCAATAAATATAAGTTCTTAAGTTCAATTTCTTGTGTGTGTGTGCACTTGCGTGCATGTGTTCATGTGTTCTGATATATTTTGTCATAGAGTTTCTGGGAGTTTTCTTCTGAATGCAATGATCTGTCCTCCAACTTGGAAAGTTGTCGAAAAATTGCTTTCTTGTGCACTCTTAAGAACATTCATTGTGAATCTTTTATTAACTTAATGGTGTCTGTACAAAAAAAAAAAAAAAAAGAACAAAAATTGGATGGTATGAAGCAAATTTACCTTAAAATTGTTGTAAAATTTTCATGTTATTTCTCACTGAAGGTGTGTGAAGCTTTGTCTGATATGCATAGCATAACTAATGTGTTTGTACACAATTGCTAGCTTCACCGAAGCTGATGGTTTTCGGCTTGATGTATGCCTTAATTTTCACCTTGCTTTAATTGCTTTTGTTGTTTTCTTGCTTTTCTTTTTCTGCCCATTTCTTATAACAATGTGTTCATTTACTTTTGCGTATATAGTTGGGGGCTCAAGTACAAACTTCAACAAAATCAGGTCCCTGGAGAAAGGTAACTTAAATTCTTTGCATCAATCTCGCTTTTGACTAGTTTTACTTCAGACATAATTTTCATTTCACTTATGTACATTTTGGTATTTTTCACAATGTCAAAGCTATGTATAACACTATGTCCTTGCTTTTAGAGTATAATTATGAGTATCTTTACTAAAAAGACGTTGAGGTGAATTAAGACACCTGATAAGTGGCAAGCATATGACCAAATTTAGGCTCTTTATGGTCAATATGCCTTCATACTCTTGTCTTGAATTTCTTGAAATTGTTTTGCATTAAGAAATTTGCTGCTATGTTTATCATCACTCACCTTTTTGATTCATGATTTCACACACACACACACACACACACACACATATATATATATATCATAAGATAGGGCAGTAAAAGAGTGAATAGGAGTAGCTGATCTTATATAATCTTACGCTTGGTGTAAAAGATTAAAAGTAAGATAGGATAATTTCTTAACCAATGCTATTGACTGATGTAGATATGATTAAATGTATGATAAGATGACAGTTTTATCTTCCTATATGTTGCATGCTAATAAATTGAATGGAAAATGCAACTTTTGAAGGAAAATAGGAAATATTGAAATAATATTTCTTGATTGGGTATCCATTCTCTAATCTTATCCCTTAGGATCCAGTAATTTCGTCCATTTTATCCTAAAAGAATTTGTAACCCACTTCCTATCAGATCCTCTTTTCAAGTACAAACCAAATATTTTATGTTATCATTTTTATCTTATCAATTATCATCTCTGTCATCTTTTGGTGTCAAACTCATCCTATAAGAATTATATCATACGTGCCTTGCTTTACTTAACGTGCATTTGTACCTGGTATTTCTCTTTAGGTGCTATTGTGCTTTGCACGGTTCAACATTGCCACCAGTTTATGTATCTGTAACAATTGATGGATCTTTGACTTTTCATTTTCAAAAATTGCAGATGCTTTCATCGAAGGATGAGAATTTCATTGGTTATACATACAAGAATGTTGAGATTGTCAAAGAGCATCATCTTCCAGGCATTGGTTCGTGTAAACAAGAAAATTGACTTTTTTTTTTTTCACTGCTTGATATGATTCAAAGCTATGCTAAGCTAAGGATTAAGAATAGTTAATAGGTTTAATATAAATGCAATTATTCTATCTGGTATGTACTCTTATATGCGCATGATCTTTATCTCGTTGCCAATGTTTTCACTACAAGTCGTGTTTAAATAAGGCAAAACAAACCAAACTATAACAATGGTATTGTGATGATGATAATGCTGTGACAATAGTAACAAGATCATGAAAAGAACACTGTTACAACCTTTTGGGACATTAGAACTAATTATTCCTCATTTTGGGTGCAATGAAAAACTTATTACTATTACTATTTTTTTGCATTAGCAGTTGTAATAGTACTATTAGTCTCAATGACAGTAGTAATAACTATGCAATAAAAAATTGCAGAAATCAGTTGCTACAACCTCCCTTTTGGTACCATGCTTTAATACTATCTTTTCCGCCTTGAAAACTGCTGACAGTTACATGTGTATGACTGCAGCTGAGTTGAAGAAGAAAAGCAATGCACCTAAGAGACCTTCTGTGAAGTCATTGTTTGGTAATTGTTTTCATTTGTATTATCAACTACTTCTTGTTTCAACTACTTAGAGTCGTTTCCTGTTTGGAGTCTTTTCTTGAATGCTTGCTTGCCTGCTCGTGTTGTTCCCATTTTGCAGACACTCCAGGACCTCCTGATCTCACCGCAAAAGGAAGATTTCTTAACAATTTGTCAGCTCAATTAGAGGTATCTGAAAGCCCGGTGTCTGAACATCAATCTAATAGAACCACACAATATTTTCGGAAACCATTGCAAATATAGCAGAAATGATGGTTTCTATAGGTAAATTTTTCATAGCAAATTGGGAATAGAAATCATTTTCAACATTGCTAATAGGCAATACCATAGGTTGAGTCATCATATACTTTAAAAAATTCTTCTTTGTTTAGTATTAATCACATTTGAAAATAGCATATATGGTCATTCTTGGTACATCATATATAGATGGGGCGGTTGGCTTTCTTCCTGTAAATCCTTTCAACCTGTGCTTTTGGAGTAGATTCATTAGCTATGTTTATATTGCATATAGAAGAAGATGAGAACTGATTAGTCTAGGTAGTTCTTTATTTTCCCATCACACCAGTAGATATAGAATTAAATTATTTATACAGATGTTATCTCATAAATGTTCTGTCTCTTTTTTTCTTAATTAGATTGTTGTACATCTTAATATTAACTATAGTTGACTTTTGGTGGGATATACGTTTCAGTAATTTTGACCACTCAAAAATATTTAAGCTCGTTTATAACATTATATATATATATATATATGTATGTATATGTATGAATGCTGGTTGTATGTATAGTTTTACTAAATGATAGATTAAGTTGCACTTTAGCATTTGATTCAATGGCGGGTAGATATTTCCCCTCTGCTTGAAGAGCTTGTCCTGAATGTTTCAACTCTTTAACGAAATTAAAAAATAAAAGATAAAAAAGCGATATTTATGTTAAACCATTAGATATTGTGATTCTTGTTGCATAAATGTCTGTTGTATGTTATCAGAAATGCACATTATTTCTTAGCTTAATCCTGGTTTCAACGAGTCTCACACAGTACAAACCTGGAGATTAAAATATTGGATGCATAAAAAAGGAAAGACTTTTTTTTTTTTTTGGTTACTGAGAATGATAATGTAAGATGATTATGCAGAGGAGACGGTGAGGTGCTTGACGTGTATATAAACAAGGACAAGACAATTCATCGCCGCAGCTTTCCCCCTTCCAATCTTTGCGCTTGCAATAGAACTAAAATTTAGGTTTTCGTATTTGAAATTTAATTTAATTGGATCACATTTAAAAGGTAACATCTTGTAATTGTTAATAATTGTGTGATATATAAATAGAATATTAGATTTTTAATTTTAATAATCAGATTTAAAATTTGATAATCATTATCTAATTGTGTTTTTGAAGGAATACCTGTGTTTAATTAATCTTCTATCACACTAAATAGATGTGTCAGCTAATTTTGAACCACAATTATCAAAGAGCAATGCAATTAATTGAAACTTGAATAAAGAATATCTTAGTAAAAATTAATCAGACGATTTAAAACTCTTGAATGATGATATGGGTATATATATATATTTTTTTTAATTTGCAAAAGATTTTTAAATCATTAAAAGTAAGACGTGCAAATGCTAAGAACAATCTAAAATGATAGGCCACGAAATGATTGCATGTACTCATCTTGGCTTTTAACAATAGAAAACAAATAAATTCCCAAATTTCATCTCTCAATAAAAAATTAATACACCAGCATGGCTAGTCTAAGCAGATTTGGAGAAGAGGCACAAACCCAAGGGGAAAGATTCTTAGTTATTTCTGGCTTTAATGGCCTATATTTTTGTTACGAATCCAGCGGAGAAGAACAGTAGATTATTTGGAAAGCATGCATGCATTTATATTTGTACATGTATATGCCAAATCCTTATAATTAATTACTATAATCTCATTGTAGAATATATATATACGTTTTTATTCTATATATGTTTGTTTATTTTTTTATTTTGTTTTGAGATAATATCCTATATGACCCCTAAATTATTATAGTTTGTTGGATTTAGTACTTAAATTAAAAAAAATTGTTAAACAGACACCTAAACTTTGAAATCAAATGTCAATTTGATCGAAGAGTTAATTTCATTATTGAATTGTTGACTTGGTTATTTTAACTAATAAAAATCTACCATTTGAACACAAAATGACATGTTACACTTACATATCATGCTTATGTAATTATATATTCTTAAAAAAAAAAATTTTCCTCTTAAATTGTAAACCCCAAATTCAATATCCAAACCCTAAATCACAAACTGAATTTTTACATGGAGGTAGTTTTTCTTGATTTTTTTATAGAATTTTACTTGTAAATTACCTAAACTAATCATGGGAGTAATTTTTACAATAAAAAAAACTCTACTAAAATCTCAATCTATCTACACTCGAACCATTAAATCAAGAAATTACCATCATCAATCTCATCTTACCGCCACTATCACTAACTCAACAACTCATCAAAATCACTACCCAATCATCATCATCACAAATTATTGCCAACCCTTCAGCCACTGTTCTCATCAATGCCAGCTAGTCAATACTACTGAGGTACCACACCAGCTAGAAAACATTTCTTTTTACCTGAGCAAATGCACAAAAATAAAGTTTTGATTTGGGAGAGTTTTGAGTGGGTTTTGGGTCTTAATTTTTTGGAGGGAGGGAGGACCAAGGATATATAATAAAGGAGATCCGACCGATGAAAATGAAAATTAAAGAGAGGAAAACAATATAATAAAAAAACAAAAGGATCGAATGGTGGAAGAAGTAGATTTTGAGATTTGAAGTTTCAAGCTTCAACTTTAGATTTAGGAGATTTGAAACGTTTTGAAAGAAAATCGAGTTGAAAAATAGAAAGAGGGAGAGAAAAGTTTTGTTCGGGTGAAATCAAGGATCAAACCAGCGTCCACAAGCAACGATCCACAATAACGAGCGACAATTTGGTAAGCAGTTGGTTGTCAAAATCTAGGTTAAGGATATATATTTTTTATTAGCTAAAATGGTCAAATAAACTATTCTACTAATGGAATTAAGTTCTAGACTATTGATACACAATGTAGAATTTCGATATCTAATTAAAATTTTTTTTAATTTAAGTACCATATTAAAACAAATACAATAGTTAAGGAGCTATACGGGACATTATCCTTCTGTTTTTATTGTTGCTTGCTGGTGGGCTGCTGCTGCTAATTAATGCAGTTTTTTTTTTTTTTAAAGACAAAAATAAAATCTTCAAATTCCTATATAATATTATAATTAACACCCCCAACTTCTTTTCCCTCCCCAATAAATGAAAGATTTATTTTTAAATGATTTAATCCACTCGTCAATGTAATTAAATAAGTAACCCTAATAATAATCGACCCATTGTTATATTCTGTTTATAAAACTAAACCTATTTCTTCCTTTTTCTTTTGAAAATTATCATCTCTTTAAAAGTAAATTAATTTTTGGTTACTTAACTTTTTATATTTTTTATTTTCATAATCTAACTTTAAAAAGTAATATTTTAATCATCAATGTTTATAAATATTATGATTTTGATAACTCAGTTGTTACAATATAAAAAATCTCTCATTTGACATTCCACGTCAACCTTTTTTTTTTTTTCACATAATAAAATATTAAAAAGTTCTCATAACGTGGAGATTGTCACATTGCAAAACAACTGATGTAAATGATAACAATAGTGTCAAGTAGGAAGTCTGTTATCTTTTTATCAGACGAGTGACCGTAGCAATTTATAAATTTTGGTAATTAAAATAAAAAGTCCTAAAAAATACTTATATAAACAGTATTATCTTGGGTAAACTTTCAATTTAACCATAACCATTAGTGCAAGAACAACAAAACCAACAGTATATGTCAAATTAATCCATCATACACCTTAATGGAAAAAGAAAAAGAAAAAGAAAAAATCCGAAGGGAGGCTGCAATTGGGGAAGTAATATTTTAGCACCATATATAACAAAGAATATTACTGACTCAAATCTAATGTCTCTATCCAAATTTCCCTCATGTTTAACTCTTGAACGAAAGCCCAAATAGTCCAAAAAATAAAAAATAAAATTGGTGGCCAACACACAGATATGTAGCATAATCATACAGCTTGATACGACCGACCTAAGTGGCAAATGGTCCCAGTGACTGCATAGTGGCATTGGCATGATTACCTCAAATTCTAATCTAAAATTTGGACGGTTTATCACAAAATCATAAATCAGATTTTACATTATCTTCACAAAATTAACTATCATATCAAAATATTTTGTTTCAGCTTAATTTTCCAAACCAAAAGTGCTTGCTTTTGATTTGAGGCTTTAATTCATTCCTAGAGCATAACTTAGCCAAACAATGATTAAAAAGTAGTCGTTATTGGAGTGGAATGAAATGAAAAGAAGAAAATAAAGGGAAGCGAGAGGAATCCTAATCCTATCATCATGATTAAGACCTCCAATTGAATTTAATTTCTAATGACACCTACAAAACTAGCTGAAGCATTCCAGCAAAATCTAATATATATTTTTTTATTTTGTTTCTTCAGATTTGATGATATTTTGTTTCTGTCAAACAATATCTTGTGCCAAAGGTTAAGATCGCGATCAAGATAGCTTTGCAAGAAATTAATTCTTGGATTCTATAATTACTTATTCATGGCGTGCACCAAAGAAATTTCGAAGTACCAAATCTACCTTTCTTATATATTATTATTGCTTTTTTTCAAACAAAAAATCACAGTTAGGAAACAAATTATAAATATATATGCTCTAATTATTATTTTTAACCCATTAACCTAAATATATATATTTAACTCAAAAGTCCATCTCTTTACTTAATAAAGTACTCGAATTGATGTGTAAAATGTTTTCATTTTTTAATAATAAATGATGGATAATTAAATAATCATTCTATAATTAATGGTGAATAAGAATATATGAATTTCATACACTACAAGAAAATAAAAGATTAGTGACAGTTTTATAGCGACGTTTCACTTACAAATACCGTTAGCTTTCGTGTTTTTATAAAACCTAAAGCGATTATTATCAAAATGCCATTAAATATTCAAATAACAGTTTTGTTACTTATAAATATCACCAAAGACTTGATATTAGTGGTGTTTATCGACTAAAACGTCTTGAACAATCTTGTCTTAAAAATTTGAATGAATACTAAAAGTGTTTTTGGCTGAAAACAGCTTGAATAATCTAGTTAAAAAAATTGATAGGAAATTATTAAAAGTATTTTTGACAAACAACGCCTTCAATAACTCCTTCAAAAAAAATATATATATATATATATATATACACGATTATTGAAAGCGTTATATAACATAGTTAAAATTTAAGTAAATTACCTTTTCAATCACTTAATTTTTTTTTTATTTTTAATTTTTTTCACCAACTTTAAAAGACATTTAATTCTGATCACTAATGTTTATAATTCAATAGTGTTGTTTTAGTAACCTAGTTACAGTTAAAAGATAAAGGCAGCATTTCATGTCACTATACCCTGACTAGATGACACATTTGCTGGCCATGTGAATAAAACATTTTTAATTCTTTTTTTTTTTTTTTTAAATCTCCTTAGGTAGGATTAAATGATGCTTTTGATATGCTTATAATATATAGATAGTGTTGAAGAAATTAGGATTTGAGATAAGATAACTCAAACCAGAGAATATGGTAAAGCATGCATGTACACAGAGATGAAAGTGAAAAGTTGAATGATTTTCAAAACAAAGAGAAAGTGGTCAAGATGGCTTTGTGCATGTCATCAACTAACTCCATTTTCTTTCTTTTCAAAATCATGAGTACAGTATCAACCATAATAAAAACCCCAATGCTTCTGCTAATACATAATAATGACTATCATCTCATTAATCAACAATGTATAAGAGAACTTTGGGCTGTTCTTTTCCTCCGTAGAAGTGACTTCAATTGAAAAGGATATAGAATTTTTATTGTAGTGATGGATTTGACATAACTTAAAGCTACTATTTCACAACAATATGTAAATTGGGCAAATAGGTACTTTCGTTACCAAGGGATCGTATAAAATTTCCCATGAGAACAAAACCCTTCATATGACCGAACCAAGATTTTGAGTTTCAACGTTGAAAAACTCAAGATTTACGTACGGTTTATGTTATATAATATTAAGGGTTTTTTTTATAATACTAAATAATTAATCCAAATACAATACATCAAGCAAGCTATTATAATTGTAAAAATATATATATATATATATAATAAGCAGAAATTAAAGAAAATCCTAGCATAAAAGGTTTCATTATTTAAATTGAGTACAACGTATTTTCATCGCATTTTTATAATTGTGACGTTATAGCATGCTTAATGCTATTGAAAATTAAAATTTATGATTAATTCTATGTTAGTTTAAGTTAGAATTGTAACTTTTAAATAATTATGTATACAATAATAAATAATTTAAATTATTAAAAAATACTAAATTAAAGCAAAATCAAAGATTAGTTAATAAAGATTTAAGGTTTTAAATATTATAAATAATATTAAAAATATATATATAAATATTTTATTAATATATATTTAAAATAATATTATTAATAATTATTTTTCATTCTCACTTTACCACCAAAGTTGTTTTGTTATCCACACACATATATCATTATTAATTTTAATCTCATCACTATATTATTAAATTTTATCATTACCGTAACTAATTTTATCATCACTAATATTTATAATTAATTTCACCGTATATTCATATGGACCCTTACACTACTCAAGAGAATTTTTTATTTTTACATTTAATTGAGTCAAAACCCCTTAAAAATAATTTTTTATTTTTTATTTCAGACAATAAACTATATTTTATTTGATTAAATGCAAGTGGATGATTCATTCATCTACTTTTATGTCAGATCTGATCAAATTATTCAATATATAAATAAAATTAATATTTTTTGAAGTTATAAATATTATATATTATAGATCAAGATGATATTTTATTAACAAATAAAATTGAAAATGATCACATTTTATAAAATAAATATTAATAAATTTATTTGTGTAATTAATTAGAGAAGTAAGTTATTTTTAAGTATTTAATTATTTTTAATTTTACTATTAACAAAATGTCATCATATAATTAATTAACTGTATATAATCTTTATACAATATTAATTCATTAAATATTAACTCTTGATGGATTTTTTTTAGAAAAGAAAGAGAAAAGAAAAACTAATGCTATAGATCTCTTTTTTAAAAACAAAATACTTATATGAAACGAAATGAAGACCGCTTAATAGTTAGTTAGATACTTCTAAAAATGGCAAAAGTTGAATTCAGTCATCGATCTCATATTATACTAATAATATAAAGGGATAAAAAAAAAAATGTTGAAATATAAAATTATTTACTGGACACAAGTTGGATGGATAATAAAATAATCAGAAAGCCGAGGAACCCAAAGCTTTTGTAACTAAAAAATTTCTCTCTCCTTTGCACATCCCTAGACAACAAGATTGACAAGAAAAGTCAAGCTTTTTTCTATTGAATATTTGTTTTACCATCAAACCAATGAAATCATTCATGGACAAAGGTGGAGCTTAAATAATTTTTTCCACTTGAAAAGAAAAGAAAAGAAAGAAGAAAGGGCAAGTCCCATCCTAAATCAATCTCCACACTGAGTTTTCCAGTCATGTCTGATATATGGACGTACTTGTTTTAACTGTTCAAACCTTCTGTTCCTCAGCTTTCTGTCCCATCCACCAATATTCCAAAAGGAATGTGGGACTCATGGGGTCTGCTCCCAGTCCAGCGGCACTGTCTTTTGGTTCTTTTCCTAATCTCCTCACTGTTCTGCTTAATAACAATAACAACAACAAAAGAAGTAGAAAAAATAGAAAGAAAATCTCCCCCCACACGCAAATCCTATTCAAACGGAAAAAATAATTGTAAGAAGGTTTATAGCAGGACCTTGAATCTCATAAATGGCTTTGCACAAATTAAGCTAACTTATAGTCTATGTATTTTACTGTGAAAAGTAGTTGTTGCTTCAAGGTCTTGCTATAAACCCCTTTTTGGCTTCTCAAAAAGAAGCGCCGTCGTCGCCTGACCAATCAAACATACTAAACGGATCCATGGCTTTCTTTTCCTTCCGCTCATCTTGATCTGTACTGAATCCTTGTGGAAACAATAAATTGAGAGGGTCTGCCTCTAACTCATCCAAATCAGCAAAGAAATCCTCGGATTGCTGGGAGCTGTCTGGCAATGCAGGCCTGTAAGTTTGAGGGTTCCCTTCGCCAAATTCAGAGTCATCTGTATCCAGCTGCTTCTCAATGTCCTCAATCTCTTCTTTAACTGGTGCACTTGCAGTTGAGCTAGCAGCAACCGCCGGAGATAAAGCATCATTGCTGCTTTCTTTAAGCTCTTCCTTTGGGTTTACTGTATTTTGGGGCTGAGAACATGGTGAGCTGATCTTGGAAGCAGAAGCATTGTTTTTGGATGGCTGAGACCTTGTAGAGCCTGCAAGAGCATTTCTTTGTGTTGGCCATGGATGGTTGTGCTCAGATGTATAGGTGATAACCAGCATATTGGGATCAGTTCGGCTTCGCTCGACTTGCTTCCTCGCAGAGCAGCCTTTGGAACTGCTGCATCTGTAGTAGCCCCTGGAATACAGTTTAGAAGAATCAGTTATTGCAATTACATGCAGCCACATTGTTAGATATCAAAACTGATTGAAAAGCATAATTTGGATTACAACATCTTCACATGTAATACATATATAAGTATAAATGGAGTACTAAATAACAAGATAGTAAAGCAACGAAGAAAAACATTGGTTATTTATGTTTGCTCAAGCATGCATTGGTGATGATTTTGAAAGGTGCTTTATTTCGAGTTCATTTTTGAAAAAAAGTGTTAACATATGCAAAAAACCATACAAATATGCATGCAATTTTTCTCATATAACTTTTTTAATTGAATAAAAATTATTTTATTTTTTCAAAATATTATCATAAAATAATTATGTTTACATTTATGTGTATATACCATGATACTTCTCTTGCTTGACTTAAGTGTGTCATAGAATAATTTTTATTGATGTTCATCGAGAAACACGATAACAAAAAAAGAAAAAAAAACTTGGTTTCTGCTGCAGTTTGTCAGCTCAGAAGACCGCAGAATAGGGACTGGAGCTTTAGTTTCTCAAAATTAGTAACTTTTGGTTCATCCTACTCTAATCAAGAATGATACCATAACATAACAACATAGCTAGTAATATAATGTTTGAGTTGTATATATAATATTATATGCATACCTCGGATAAGGAGAACCTTTGATGGGTTTCTGCCCGTACTTTCTCCATGCCCACAGGTCCGAGGGGACTACTTCTCCACTAGACCTGCTGTTTGTAGCTGCTGGTGATGGAATGCAAACCACCTTCTTGGCCTGGCTCTTTCTGCATATTCACATCGACAACTAATGTAAATTGTATGGTTCGATCATTGAAAATTTGATTTTAACATTAAAAAAAACCGTATTCCTAGCTAATTATCTCTTAGGAGGGAAAGAATGTTGTTTGTTTCAGTTGTACTTTTGGGCAGGGATATGCATATGAGACATATTTTGGAAATTTTCCCTAAAGAAGGTGAAAGCGATAGTACAATATTCTGAAGACAAATAGAACTGAACATAATCGGTATCATTTCAGGTGGGTTAGGGAAGAAAAGTAGGTTCAGATAAGTACGTGAAAGCTAAGTTTGTGAATGTAATTAATTGCGACACCCATTTTAGTTATCTATTAATTACCTTTTCAGGGTTTGATTAAAAGCCTGTCAGGATTTTTATGTTTTATTAGCATTGTTGTGAACTTCACAATGAGCAAAACTCACCTGAAAATCAGACACCAATATCTCTACTTTTCCAATACATACAATAATTCAGACATATAATGCATATATGTTAATTAATTAGTAACAATGAACCCTAATTTCTCTTATCTCCTGGCTTTATATATGATTTTTATGAAAGAAACCCCAAGTTCCAAAAATTCATTAATTCCCTAAATATTAATTCATGCATCATGGCTCTTAATTAATGAGACAAAGAAAAGCAATAAAATATAGTAGTACTACCAGTGGCTTTTTAGTTAATAAACGGAGTTGAGTTAGAGAATTAACTATTACCCTAACCTTCTCTTCATGCCCAGGTTCCGCGGAGAAGAGATCTGCAATGGGCCTGTGTTATCAATCAAGCAACTTTTTGAGCTGCTTGCATCAATCATTTCGCTTGGGAGCACAGCAGGCACCTTAATTCCCCTTGGGTAAACACCAGAACCCATCACTGGCGAATCACAGGGCGACACAGGTAGCTTACTAGAGCTTGGAGAGATCTGAATCCGAGAAAGAATGTTGCAAGGACTTCTCATATCATCTTCAAAAATCTTACTATGATGACCAAAACCAACAATATTACTTGCACCGGAAAAGTTTGAAGTATCTTCAACGGTAGTGCTGCCGGTATTATTAATCATTTGATCAGTTGAATTATGGCTGCTATAGTAGGTTGATGAACCAGCTGCGACATCAAGCTCATGAAAAAGTGGATCTCTGACAGCGGAGAAAGGGTCACCAAAAGCGATTACGCTATGATCGTCCATGGATGACGATGAAAAATTCAACGGATCGGAGGGGAATTGCCGCCAGCTTGAAGCAGGAACAGTATCTGAGGCTTGAGCGGAGGCACACCCCATCGGACCACCACTTGCCCGAACTATATCGTTTAAATCGCCTTGGTAATTCTCCATTTGTAGGCCGAAGACGGTGCACATGCTATATTAATGCAAAAAACACATGTAAGAAAGAACCGATTCTATCATTTTAACATATAGATATCAACATATCTATAGTCTCTCCTCTCCCTTTGCTCACAGACGTAAAACATGCAAAATTTCTCAAAGTGCTTGATTTTTTAAGGTAAGAGTGGAGATGGGTTTTGGTTACAAGCAAAGAAACAGATTTTTTTTAAGTTGAAGGTTAAAATGGATCGATGCTCTTTCTTCTCATCAATAACAAACAAAACAAAGAAAGAATGGTTTATGCTTTTTTGAAGAGAGAGAGAGTCGCTGACTTTTCACACAAGACTGCTCTTCTATGTGCGCAGCAACAAGTTAAAGAAGATAGCAGAAAGAAAATGATAAAACTAGTAATTAGTATAATAAATTAATAAGGTGGGGGAATTTATAGGGTGTATGGATCAAATTTACGCAACTCCTTTTTTTTTTTTTTTTTTTTTCTCTTTTTTAATGAAAACTGCAGAGTAAAAAAACAAAAAAAAAAAGTTGAAGTTACAAGGGAAAAAGTGTTTTCTTTTATTGGTCCTTTAAGACAAGTGATTGGAGGGAAAAAAACAGAGGCGGCAGTAGCCGCATTTCTCGGAGGAACGTTTGGGGTTACCATTCGCTCTTCTTTTGGGGTTTAAAATTGGAACTATTAATTATTTAACTTATTATTGATTTTGGGGTTTTAAAATTAAAAATTACACGTTTTTCCAACAAATAAAAACATATAACTTGTCTTTGACCTTTTGATTTAATGCTTAAGAGGTTTTATGAAAGATATGTGGGTGGGTCTGGGTTTTAATCTCGTCATCTTTTTTTTTTTTTTTATACGAGCTTTTGCCCTTTTTTGAACTAAAAAAAAAAAAACATATAACTTGGGATGAAGGAAGGAATTACAAGAGAATTTGCAATATATCAATTAATTTTGGAATAATTGATTTCTTTTAAGAATGAATCCAAGAAAACCAAAATAAAAGTGTGAATATTAATTAGTTGTATTTAGTGATTTTAGGGTTTGGTTGATAAGGTCGTTTCCAGTTTTATAATTAGGCCTAAAAATTTTCAATAAATATTGAATGGTTATTATTTGTCGAAAATCAAAATTTTACAAAAATATATTTCCTAAATTAGAAACGTCTTCTAACAGCTCCAAAACTTCAATATTTTTTTAAGTTCAAATTTATGCTTTACGTTTGCTTTGTAAAAATTTAAAATTCACAAAAAAAATAACAGTTGAAATGTTCCCAAAAAAGATTATGAAATTCACAATTAGGACCTTAAACTAAGAGTGTATTTCACTTATAATTTTTTTTTTCATTTCAATCCTACAATTGCATAATCACAATAAAAATCATGTAGAGGTCTATCATTTATAAATATAGGGTTCATATAAAATTTTGATAACTTTTATGCAATTCTAAATTATGATTAATTAATTATAATACAATTATCATAGTTAAATGTGTCCACTTAAACAGATCAAGTGGTTCCGCCGGGATGGGTAAGAGTTTGGCTAAAGCTCTAATATGGACTTAAGCTTTTTTCTTTATACAAAACCAATTTCGCCTTAACACTTTTTTTTTATATCTTTGGAATCCCCAAATGAATTTTGATAAATATAATTTTTTTTTGAGATTACAAAAGTAAAAATTTATAATGACACATAAACATTGAAATTCATAACGTACCTTATAATGACTGGTAAAAATTGACATTTTAATTCCAAGTTTTTTCCCTAAAATTTTCAGAAAAAATATTTTGAATTTGTTCGGAATTAAAGAATCTCTGCTTCCTCAAGTAGAGTGAATGTGTGATATAAATTGGGTTGTTTTGACCCCAATGACTTAAATGGAAGATCATCATTGAATAAAGCAAATAATGTGCAAGCTTTGTTTCCAAATACAATATATAGGGTTTAATTCTTTAATTGTATGTTATTGCTATCTTCCTAGCTTTCTTACACTGCCTCACCACAAGGTTCACTAAAACTATTTGCCAACAAAGAAGTAGCTGACTGGTTATCCAAACAAACAAAAAAACCCAACCAATCAAAATAAAGGGAAAAAAGCTAGCTTTTTTAGTAAATTAAGAACTCAAAACATAAAATAAAAAAAAAGTGATATACTTATAAAAGTGTAGCACCTTTTGCTTTTTGATATCTTGGATTCTTGAAAAGAATTGAATGTAGAAGAATAAAAGCATTATTGTATTGTTTTTTCCTTTTCTTCAAGACAACCATGATCAATAATTAGACCGCTAATTTATATTTTCGTATATAGCATGAGCACAAGAGAAGAGAAGAGAAGAGAAGAGAGACGTAGAAATATTATTTATCATATCCTTAATTTTAGGGTTTTAAAAATCAAAATTGAGAAAGATCTTCACTATTGAAGAAGTAGTAAAAATTTTTATTATTTTATCTAATGGTAAATAATGCGCTTTTAGTTAAATCTATGATTTATATTTATTCATATTATTTTTTTTATTTTCATGTTCAATTTTAAATATTATTAATTGAATGCAAGCATAATGATACATTTGGTATTTATCCCTCCTATTTATGTATAAAATACATATAAAGGGGTTGCAACGAATCCATTCAAAGTCAAAATGGGGTTGACTTTGAGGATATAGCGTTGGCCTGCTTATGTTGTGGTTGTGATGAGCTTATGTTTTTATGATCGAGTGATTCCCGATTCCACTTTAATTATTTCCCACTAAACTGTTATTGCACCCACTTTCCATGATGTACAAAACAGAGCTCCTTTTAATAAATAAATAAATAAATAAATATTTGTACTTTTTAAAACCTTTGAGCTTATCGCTTTGAAGAGAGCAATAGTTTTTGAATAATTACGTATGAAGATCCAAAGGAAGGTCACTTTTGAGATTAGAATAATAATTAATTAATCAAGGTGTTTAATTATAATGAGATTGAGACAAATTATAAGCTTATGCCGGCATGATAAAAGACAAAGATTAGTTCTAATTAAGAGCCTGGACTAAGTAACTTATAGTATTAACTAAGGTTTTAGTGTTTTGTTGTTTTCTAACTGGAGTTGAAAGGTTAGATATTAACATCGTGCCCTTTAGGCATTTGGTTTTTGTCAAAAAGTGGGGTTTTCCTTTTTATTCAAGAGTCGGGCGCCACATCTTCAAACATCGTGCTTAAATATGGAACCTTGGTTATGAGTCATGTTTGATTAGACATTTTGATGTCTTTTGAGATTTGGGGGTTTGCCATTAGCTACGGTTGTAGCGTTTTTCTAAAATTCTCAATTTCTTTTTTTTTTTTTTTAATTTTCTCTCTTTCACGTACAGTAATGCAAACATATATGCTTTATGAATGCTTAGAAAAAAATGATGAGGGGGTTAGGGATGTCGTTGTATAAGGAGGAGATAAGGGGGGGGGGGGGGTTGGTTTTTCTTGTATTTGTTTAGTATTTGATGGATGGAATTGAAGTTTTCAATGGGCCAATGATCATACAGGGAATCACCGACCCCATATGTTTGATGAGACATTTTGAGAATCTAGTACTGTGGCAAAACAACAATTCTCTATCTACCCTTTTTGGCTCTAGCCTTTGGCTTTGGACTCCTTCAAAAGACAAGTATTTACCAACTATCTCCCCTCTTTTTTTTTTTTTGGTTTTTAAGAGAGCTAATATTGGAGTACTTGCATATAATTTTTCAAAACAAGTTAATAATCTATCATCTGATCATACCCAGAAAAGGAGAATTAATATGAAATTAATTATATAAAGCTGAAAGTCCAGTCTAATAAATTCTGCACATGAAGCTAGGATACTTAATTAATTATGGAAATTTTGCATGCAGATGCAGTGGCAGAGATTTTTATCTTTATCGAAATGTCAGCTATATATATAGACCAAATAAACAAAAACTAATACAAAGTTTTCCTGTTTTGTCTCTTTCCTGGAGAAGCTAGCAGATTTAATTGTATCACTGGGATTTACTTGATGCTGTTCCCAGTTGTAAGTGTTTTTTTTTTTTGAATCATTGATTGTGGAATTCAGGCAACACTTGCCCCACGTTCCTGCTTGACAACCCCCGCCCCATAAGAGAACAAATTAAACTGGGATTCTCTGAGCAATATTATACAGGCTTTTTTTGTCTACGCACCACCATCTTTCCATGTGAACCATCCCCGTTGTTTAATCACTTATTTAATTAAATAAATCAATATGTATATAATAATAGTTCATCGCCAACCCATCTTCGACGCTGACGAATGCTTGCTACATTACAATAATCTGAATTAGATGCTGCTGTGTAGAGCTACGAGACACTTCCATAAGCCTCTGACGCCTCTTCACGTCACCCTTTGCCGGCAACCTCACCGTTTGTATCCATCACAGGCGTCTACACCTCTCTATATTAATTGCCACCTGTATTTAGTCTTGTCCTTAATTGTTCATCCTTTTCAGTATATACTAAATTAAAAAGATTTCTATAAGCTAGCTAGTATTTATCTTTTTTTTTTTCTTATGTAAAATTGGAGGGTCAATTATTTTAAAATTTTTTAATGTCTTGTATTTTTAGGATTGGAGCTCAAAGATTTTGATATCATATTAAATTGAATGATGAATTATTCAAAAAAAAATTCAAAATAGTTTGTCACCCAATTTAACAAATTACTTGTGCTAAACATTAAAGTTGGACTGACAGCATCTTGATCCAATCTTTAGAAGAGAATTACTGCAGTGAATGAAGAAGGATTGGAGGGGCCAGCGAAGGCCAAATTAACAGAAATGGTACTATTTTATTGGCTTTAATATGCCTTGCGAGTGACTTTAGCATAGTTCACCGGAAATTTGGAAGAGATCATATGGGTGGGGTTCCTGCTTCTCACCACCAACCACAGTGCATGCCTAGCATCTATTGAGTAGGCTTACTTGTAGCTATGGAAATTGTTAGGCTATGAACCATATATGAGATATTGCAGTACTATATATGTTGCATGCATTATATTATATATGAATTCAAATTGAAGAAAGAGATCGAAATGACTTCTTCCAAGATAATATAATTCTCACTTTTGGAGACCCCAAGTTTGATGATCATGACCATGAGATCATGAGACTAATAATAGATTAATAGTCATCAAAAAGTAATAAAAGTATATTGGGAAATGCAAAATCATCATCATCTTTCTCAGTTTGTGATTAAATTAAGGTTTTGGATTGTGTAGCACGTGGCCCTTTCCCATGTGACATCAATGACTTTGCTTCCAATGAGAAGAAGCAATTAGGAAACTACTGTTTTTTGTTTTGTTTGCCTCAATTAATTTTGTAGGGTTGGAATTCGATATCCCATGCCCCTT